CCTCTCCTGCTGATGTTCAGGTGTATATCAGTATGTAGTGTCTCTTCTTTCTAAGAGTCCTCTCTCCAGCTGATGTTCAGGTGTATATCAGTATGTAATGTCTCTTCTTTAAAGAGTCCTCTCCAGCTGATGTTCAGGTGTATATCAGTATGTAATATCTGTACTTTAAAGAGTCCTCTCCTGCTGATGTGCAGGTGTATATCAGTATGTAGTGTCTCTCCTGGGACATGTCTCCATACTTTCATGTTCAAAAAGCACCTCTTTTCACCCTCTGTCTGAAACCAGTGTGTGTGTTCAATGTAAAAGTGGAGCTTACCTGGTCGTGGAAGATGTGAATAACCAAGGCCAGGGTCACCTCTGTCAGGACCAGGAGCAGGAGGATCACAAAGAACTGCAGAGGAGAGGAGAGAGGAGATGAGGAGAGGAGAGGGGAGGGGAGAGGAGAGGAGTGAAGAGAGGAGAGGAGAGGAGGAGAGGGGAGGGGAGAGGTGAGGAGAAAGGAGAGGGGAGAGAGGAGAGGCTTTAGAGCTGCAGATTATCCCTACTGCTGATATTGAATTGAGATCACTTTATCACGTATCATTCAGTATCTCCCTGCCCCCCCTCCTGTGGCCCCTCACCATGAACAGCAGGCAACGCTGCTCCTTCAGGGCCCCCAGACATCCCAGGAAGCCCGTCACCATGGTGATGCCGCCGGCGACCAGCAGCAGGTTGGCAGCAGAGAGGGAGGGGAAGGAGAGGGGGAGGGAGGAGAACTCTGCCTGGGTGAAGGACAGCCACACTCCAATGCCAAACAGCCCGCAGCCTCCAAGCTTCACAACACATGGGAATGCAGATTAACCACAATGCATTGCTCCAAACCTGGGATATCCCACATCGTGAGCAACATAATGGAGTGACTCTGACTGTGTGTGACAGTCAGAGTTAAACAGAAGCTCTGTGGACAGAGCACACTGTGGACAGAGTGGACAGAGCTCTGTGGACAGAGTGGACAGAGCTCTGTGGACAGAGTGGACAGAGCACTGAGGACAGAGTGGACAGAGCACACTGAGGACAGAGTGGACAGAGCACACTATGGACAGAGCACACTATGGACAGAGTGGACAGAGCACATACTGACCCAGAAGATGAGGTTGAAGACAAACATCAGATATTTGACGCAGCACAAACAGCTCCGAGACACTGACATCCTGCAGAGACAGAAGAGACAGAAGAGACAGAAGACACAGAGCAGAGTTACAGCAACATGTCCACAGCCTGCTGCTGTGCTCTCAGGTTACCAGGGTTACATCATGAGGACTGAGCAACACTGTGTGTGGTCATATTGTGTTGTGAGAGTTGGTGTACAATGAACATTGTGTTAAGGTACAATTCTGAAAGGCTCTTTCATTAAATAACAAATGGTGGACGTGTGTTATGATATTTGTGTTGTGATTGATCTGTTAACTGTTCATCTAAATGACAAGGGGCTCCTCTGAGTCTCCTCAAACTCCGTCTCACACCCAGGACCCTGATGAAGACACAACTGTATAAAGATAGTTACTGCCCAGCTTGCTGGGTAATTAAGGTTGATGTGAGAAGTGGAGATTCTGAGTTGTGTGCACCTTCTTCAGAAGTAGAAGTACTCAGATCTTGTACTTGAGTAAAAGTAGAAGTACCAGAGTGTAATACTCTGTTTCAGTAAAAGTACTGCATTACAAAAGGTTACTCAAGTAAAAGTAGAAAGTATTCACATCAAAATATAGTGAAAGTAGCGACAGTGAAAGTATTCATTGTGCAGATTGGTCCATTTCAGAATAATATATACGATATGTTTTATAATGATTGATCATTAAAGTGTTCTCAAAGCTGGTAAAGGTGCAGCTAGTCTGAATGACTTTGTATACTGCAGGGTAGCTTGTGAATTTACCCCAGGTGGAACTAAAGTCTGATTTAACACTTGATTATATATTCACATCCTTAATCAAAATCTGTAATAACAAGGTATTAAATAAATGTAGTGGAGTAAAAGTACACCATATACCTCTGTATTGTAGTGGGGTATACGTACAAAGCAACCACAAATGATAGACAAACAGAGTTAATAAAGAACATTTAACTTAATTTCTTCTTTTTTTTGGTTAGATAATTCTGGTCCACACTCCAATACATTAGGGGGCGGTAATGCACCTTTAACGCTGGCTGCTACCGACCATAAAACCGCAAAAGAAGAAGGGCCAGCTGATCAGTCAGCAGCAGACTGCACTCACACACACCCACCCAACATGCCTTCCCCGATCCCCGTCACCCGCCTGCTCCCCAAAGATTTCTACCCCTTCCTGGACCTGGAGACCTGCAGCAGCCCGCTGACCAGAAACCCCGGATCCACCTTACAGGTTCCCGTCCAGCGGCTCCACGGAAAGGTTGCCAGTCGGCTCTGGTCCACGGTGATCCACTGGAAGGAACTACGCTCCGTGCAGCCTGCGGGATCCGGAGGGTTCGGATCCGTCTACAAGGCGGATTACTTCGGAGAGACTGTAGCGCTGAAGAAAGTCAAGAAGTGCACCAAAAACAAGCTGGCGTCCCGTCAGAGCTTCTGGGCCGAGCTGAACGCAGCGCACCTGCGCCACGAGAACGTCGTGCGCGTCATCGCGGCCACCACCTGCATGCCAGCGGATTTTGGAGACGATAGCAGCATCGGAGCGGTGCTCATGGAGTTTGTGGGGGACAGAAACCTGCAGCAGATCATCTACGGTGGGTGTGACCCTCTGGATGACAGGTGCCTCAGGTATGCAACAGATATTGCACGCGGTCTGCGCTTCCTGCACTCACACAGCGTGCTGCACCTGGACATTAAGCCAGCCAACGTGTTGGTGTCCGGGGAGGACGTGTGCAAAATAGTAGATTTCGGTTCTTCTCTGAAACTGGACCTCAGGTGCGAGGTGAGCTGTCTCAGCCCGCATCTGAGCCACGTCGGCGGCACGTACACGCACAGAGCCCCGGAGCTGCTGAAAGGAGAGGGGCTGTCTCCTAAAGCAGACATCTTCTCCTTCGGGATCACTCTGTGGCAGCTGATCACCAGAGAGCAGCCCTACACCGGGGACCGGCAGCACGTGCTCTACGCGGTGGTGGCCCACAATCTGCGGCCGTCGGTCCAGGAGCACCCGGTGTTCCAGTCGGAGCAGGGCCGGCAGTGCAGGACTCTGCTTTGCCGCTGCTGGAGCGGGGACGGTCGCTGCAGACCGACTGCTCAGGAGCTGGTGCCTCAGCTGGAGCAGATCAGCTCCCAGACATGAGACTGTTTTATGAACAGGTGCACTGACATGTTTTTAGGAACATTTTAGAACGTGGAATGCCCTTATCTTAATGCTGAATCTCGTTGAAAAAAAACACACAATTTAGTGCCTTCCTGTTTATCTACGAAAATACAATGTGCCTTACGAAAATGACACTGTTAGACTATCATGAGGATGTAATGCTTCAATTCGGCTTATGTGACTCTAACGAGAAAAGCACTTATTGTAATAAAAACAGCTTTGAATTCATTCATATGGCTCACTCAGCCTGAATAGATGCATTCAATTTGCTTAACAGTGTAAAGTTAAATGTATTGTGTGTTGTGCAGAGATCTGGTATATATGTGGCTCCTCATGATACAAACATTGTAAAGGTATTTTCTTAACCCTATGGGGCTTTATTGTGCTTCATCTTTAAATGTCCTTTTAATTAAGTGTACTCTGGTGCACAGTGCTCTGAAATAAAGTTTCTACACTGCTACAGGTAAAAATATTTTATTCTCACTTTAGTTTTAAAGTATCACTTACATGAACACGAGCCAGATAACATTACATCATTGACATTTTATTCCACAACTCAAACATCCACACAAAGTTACTATAAGGGTTGACTTAGTTTTATACAATTTTCTTAAACTTTGAGATACAAATGTGTTGTGAATTGAGTTTTATTTTCTATGTTTGTAATGTGAGATTAAGTGTTTTCATTAAAAATATTTTTATAATTTACATTTTGATTCTTGGCTCTTTCTCACATTCAAACTCATTTGTTAGAAATGTGTTTCTAAACTTTGTTTCCTCTGAATTTGTGTTGTAACACAGCCACCTGCTGGACACTCCTAAGGACACACATGTACCTCTGAAATAGTTTTTAAAGTGCAGAACTATATTAACCTTTAGGAATGTTTTATTTATGGAAACACAATCTAGTAAAGTAACACTTAAACCTGTGTAACCATGACGCGTAACCTTTGGGAAGCTTAAGGAAGGGAATTATGGGTAAACATGACTAGTTATTTAGCTCAGATTTTAAACAGTTACCTTGAAACTCCTGTATACAAAACTCGAGTGTTTTAACATAATTCAAGGTTTTTGACTAAGACATATTAAAAGTTATGAACATAGCAGCTCATTAAACTTGATTAAACGCACTCAGTTGATGGACTCATCGTGTAATATTTGAATGATTCTGAATGAGACCTATGCTGCATTATCTTTGTTTTCTTGACTTTGAAATAAGACTAGAAGATTCTGATGTTTTAACAGGCCGAGCAGAACTTGTAAAATGTATTGAATTTTCCTTTAAAGTAAACTGTACCTCAGTCTAATGTCTGCCAGAACACAACGACAGGAACAAAGTGTTAAAGAAATATTGACAAGATATTCCATTTTACCATTTAGATGGACAAACTGTAACATGACAGTCCCACAAGGGCAGTTATAATGAACAGCTACTAAGAACAGGATTCACAGACGGCCAAACTGATCACAGGAACAAAGAATACCATTTGGATCATGTGAATGTGTTCACATACACCAGTTAGATATGGCAGTGTATGTGGGAAAGCTCACATGATGGTGACTCTCTCCGGAGAGACGTGTGCAGCCGAGCCCACGGGCTCCAGGCGCTGGCAGCGGTTCTGACTGCTGTCCATGCCGCGGCGGATCTGGTGCAGCTTGCGGCCGACGCAGGGGAGCAGCATGAGCACCTTCCCCAGAATCACACACACGGGCAGCGCCAGGGCCACCATGAAGCTGGGGGGCAGGTAGAAGCGGTAGGCGTCCTCCTCGAAGGCTTTCTTCCAGCCGAACAGCAGGCCGTGCAGGGTCGCGATGAGCAGAGCGATGTAGCCCAGCGTGGACTGGAGTAAAGACAGGAACACTCATTATGGGATATACAGCAACAACTGCTGGGATTCACTCACAGAGAGGAGAGCCAGGCACACACCTCGTATACTTTTTTATTTATATTTTTAGCAACGGCCACAAAACCCAAGATATGAAAATATTCTGATTCTGATGATTTCCATGTGACAAACTTCAAATCCACCATACACTGTTACTACTCTTCCCCCCCCCCTACACTGTACAACACCCCACATTCTGCAATATCCATTACTAATGAAGCATCAGAGGGAAATTCTAGCCCAAACATTTCTTCTACTGAAGATTTCTACTGCTTAGGAATCTTAGAAAAGGACCCCTTATGACCCCAGAATTTGCCTGACAATAAGTTTCTCCAAGCATCACCCCTGTTTGGTGTCGTACCTGTATGAAGCTGAACTCCCTCCAGTTGAGCGTGCTGTGGACGGAGGGGATGGAGGTGATGGCGAGAAGCGACAGCAGCCCGAGGCTCATGATCCCGAAGGAAACGTACATCTCCACCCTCCACACCTCCTCCTCGTTCCACGCGTTCTCCACATTAGCGTGGACCTGCACACACAGAGGAGGCTTGGGATGAAATCAATCACTATGACCGTCTTTTAATTATGGATTATGGCCCTTGATTTTCTTTCACGTACAATGTGTGGGAGCGCTAGCCAATTGAAGCGCAAGTGTTATACATAGTGATGTCACCATGTTGCTGAAGCAAACAAAGGAGACCAATGGAGATGTTTAAGGAAGGGGGGGGGGAGTTTATGGGAGAGAAACTCCCTCTGGATGGAACTTTGGGATTTTAACCTTTCCACACCATTTACATGCACTAAAACCTTTATTACACACTACAGGAAAGGGAAAACCTCAATACCCCCAATAATAGGACCTCTTTAATCAAAGCAAAGACAACACATTAACACACATCTCCTTGTTTCCCTGGAGCATATCACTCTGAGCCCCCCCACTGACCTGCTGGTAGGCGGTGTTGAGCATCAGGTACCTCTCAGACCTCCTCATGGGCAGACACAGGCTGTAGACCACGTGCACGGCAGCCAGGAAGAAACTGAGCAGGCCCAGCTGCTTCCTGCTCTGCAGCCAGCCCTCCAGCCAGTGGGGGAACTGTCTGTACTTGGTGCCGTAGTACAGCTGGTGGGCGGCGGCCAGCTGACCCGCCAGGTACACCAGCGCCAGCAGCGTGATGGCCACAGTGGGCAGAGTCCGGTTCACCATCTCTATGGGGATCTTGTAGAAGTCACTCTGCTTGTGTTTCACATACGGGTGGATGATGTCTCGTACAAATGAGTAGGCGAAAAAGAAGATGGAGAGGGCGACGGCAGCGAGCACGGGGCCCTTCCAGCCGGGGAATAACCGTATGGGAATGTTCTCAATTTCCCGAGAGGAAGACAGGGTGCCCATATCCACCGGCAGGAAGTGGAGCTGGCGGGCTAACTCCATGATCTGCTGCCGAGCCTCCACCGAGTCACTGCAGATGTACACCTGGAGGTTGGACGTACAGAGAAGACAAGTAGGAAGATGAGGACATAATCACCTATAGAATGTCAAACTGATTAATAGTATCATGAACTATGAGTGTATACTACCTGTGATTGTGTGGAATAGTTATTTTATCGTTTATAGCCCTTAATCCACACTATTCTTTTCCACCTGTCCTCTCGCACATCTATTCACTCCAATTTCTTCTCCCCTGCTAAATCCTGAAATAATAGTCTCTTCTCTTGCATTATATCTGATTGTAAGGGTTCTCCATTAAACTCATACATTTAATTGAGAAGCTTCTTACTTGCACATCTGAAGTGCTGCCCTCTCATTTTATAATCCTAACCATGATAGCTGACTGGCTGGGAGATTATTTCAGAAGCGGGCAGCTCTATTGTTGTGACTTCCCTCTATAGGAATTAATTTCCTCTGGATGTGAGGGCTTTTTTATAATCTGTGCCTAAATTTGATCAAAATGAAGGCTTCAAATAGCCAGCAAGGCAGATTGAACTGTCATTGTCTCTGTTGCATGCAGTATGCTGGCTTCTGTCTCCTTCGATAGCCCAAGACGCAGATCCTAAATCAAGATGCCTGTTGGCCTTGAAGTGAACTCAGGCTGTTCTGTCCAATAATCATAACCGAGCCATGTTGGTTACATATGAACAAGATGGTGAAAACCCAGTGAAATCTGCAGAAAAATCTTGTAAATGGACCTTGTGTTAGGTTTGTTGTTTGTTAGTTTGTTCAAAGAATTGAATGTGTTTATGTTACCTGTGTGCTGGCGTCTTTGGGGCAGCTCATCTGCATGGCCCAGGCTGAGATGACGTTGAAGCCTTTGACGGTGATGGAGCCTGGCATCAGTGAAGCCAGATACTCAGCGTTGGACTCGGGGTACTGGTTCATCCTCCTGTTGTTGCTCACATCCACCAGGATCTTTCCTGCACGGCAAGACACACACACAGGATTTCTGTAGTTAAACTTAATAATGCAAGACACCCTCCTGGAGTATCGGATATCTAGAAGGGACCTCCAGACTTCTCGTAGAATTATTGTTTTACACAACATTAGCAACAACATTGAATTTGATTCATCTTTAAAGTTCCTCTTTGTAAGACTGATATAATAAATAAAAATAACATGTGTTTATTATTTTCCACTTTTGTCAGTCCGGATAATTTCTACGTAAGATTCAAAAGCATGATGAATTAGAATGCATGATTTAATGCTGTAATACATTTTTATGACAGTGCTCTAAGTGTGTATATGTGTAAGTATCTACCTTCCAGTAGGTGTTTGAGGTCCCACAGCACAGAGTAGTGCTCACGACGGATAGCCAGGAACACGATGTTGGACTTCCCCACAGCGTCCTCATGGTGTGTCACATCCACTACATGAGGAAGGGACTGCGCTGCCAGTTTGGGGTGTCGGCTGCCCACCACCACATGGAAGCCACAGCGCAGCAGGCGGATGGTCAGGCACTTGGAGAAGTCCCCGGAGCCCAGGATGGCCACCGTGGGCCGGGAAGACTCTGTGTCTCCACTCTTGGTGCCGTTGGGCAGGAAACAGGCCTGTGTGTGTTGGAGGTGGTGGTGAGAGGACGGAGCTGTGAAGAACACAGGGCTCCTGCTGCTGCCCATCATGGAGAAGGAGTCCATCCTGCCTCCCTGTCTTCTTCTGTGGTGTTCTGCTTAGGAGGATTTCAGTGGGTCTAAGGGAGGAAAGAGCAAAGTAAAAGAGGGGCTAAATCGCATGCATCATTACAGGTAGAATGACCATGTATAAACAGCATTTGATCGCATCGATTGTAGTCAATTTTGACAACTGAAAATCAAAATAAGATTTGTATTGACACTTAAAACGTAATCCAGATTGAGTTTTAAGTGTCAACACAAATTTTATTTTGATTACCTTTAGAACAGCATTTGGCAAAGACAATCTCACCACACAAGGTAGTAGATGATCTGGAGCTTAAATGTGCTTTTTGTTAAATACATATATTAGTGGTGCCAAATTCTGGTTCATTAGTTGAAATTAACAGCTTCATTTATAGTTAATAATGAATTGAAAAATGCTATTGATCACGTACATGTCATTAATATGAAAACATTTTAGGTTGCACAAGTCAAAAACAGGCGGGCTGCTGTGTCCATCAATGAAACCCATCATCTGCTGAATGAGATCGGTGATAACCAATCAGAGGACATCGTCCGCCGGGACAAGCTGCGTCTCCTGATGACCTTCTGTCTGCACACACACTGATCATCTGAAGGACAAGGTCGTGTGTGTGTGTGTGTGTGTGTGTGTGTGTGTGTGTGTGTGTGTGTGTGTGTGTGTGTGTGTGTGTGTGTGTGTGTGTGTGTGTGTGTCTATGTGTGTAGACAGCCCCCGTACACCTGTAGCGTTGCAGCACGACCGCTGTCGTTCTGCCATACAGTCGCACAACACACACACACACACACACACACACACACACACACACACACACACACACACACACACACACACACACACACACACACACACACACACACACACACACTGATGACAACAGGCACATATACCATGCACGTGCACAGTGAGACTGAATACACTGTATGTTGTGATGATGGTGTGTTACCCACCTGTCATGAAGATGCTCAGGATGCTGCCGTTAAAGCCGAGACTCAGACAGATGCTAGCCGCCCATCCTGATGCTGCTCAGCCTCCGCTGTCTGAACACATGCTGCGTTCAAGTCCCGTGGGAAAAACCGGAGACTCCGCTTTATCTGAAAATAACGCGTCTGGAGTTTATTTTTTCCATAGCCAGTAGAGCTTGCAGGAAAAACTGCAATGACGTTGTTGAATTTCCTGATAAATATTACCTTTAGTAAATAATTTGAGCTTGGAGTGTACCAAGTATCGCATTTCAGCATATTTCAGTATAGCCTATTTGTACAAAAGGAAAGTTTAAAGGACAAACATAATTTTTACTGAACATTGAACTAAACACAAAACATGCTCTCAATGACATATGTATGGTGAGTCTTTATGAGAGTTTAATGCACCATTTGTGAACAATGTGTGCTCTCCACACTTCAAATCAATGGCAGTACAGATGCTTTTGCAACAACCAAAGTAGACACCAGCATTCATCCTTAAATAGAACAAGAAGGGTGAAGCATATTTTATTTCCTTTTAAACATTTTGGTTGTAAGAGGCCAATTTGTAATAGGCTTTGCATGCTTCATTATTAAACTGACACTCAGATCCTGTAATGTGTCCTATTGGCTCCTGAAGATGTTCTACCAGTGTTGGTGCATCAGGGCTAGAGAGGCCAGCAGCAGATAAACACTGACCACGTGTAGTTACAAACATAAACATTAGCCTACTTACTATTAGGTAATCCTAGGAGGATTACATTAAGTGTCAACATGGCAAGTTGAGTGTCAACACTTGCAAATATAATAAGTATAGTATAACCGTTTAGCAGTGATACAATGCTACAATCTACTCAGCTTGAGAGGGAGGTGGCTGAAATTCTGAACTCAGGGATCATAAACCAAATTCCATGTGTTTTGGTCATTTTTGGTCCTCCGGAGCTGCCGTAGCTGTCATGGCGTTTTTGGAAGGAGCCGTGTATGCTGTTGGACTTATGTGTTTATTATTTATTATCCGTTTATATTATATTGTAAAGACGGGATCAAGCTATAAGCCTGGAGCCAAAGGTCCGGTCGCTGTTCTGGTCGTAGCAGGGTCAGGTAACGATAATGATATTAATTTACATACAGTTCCTCAGGTAGGCTATCTGCAGAGAAGAGTAGCCGTCAAAAGCTTAACTTGTACCTCAGTCATGATTAAAGACATGTGTTGTGCTTGCCAACCTTTAGATATTCATTAGTGCATAAGGGCGAACAGGTAGACAACGTTTTAAAGTTCGTTAACAGTTAGCTTACTTCCTTAGCATCAGCGCTAACAACACGTAGCGTTACTGCACTGGACTGTGCCAAGTTATCAGTAAAAGTGGGGGTGGAACTTTTTTTAAATAAATATTTTCCTGCCCTACTAATATTTGTACAGACAGTATTTACCATTAATATGAACAAGCTTGATCAACAGGTAAACATACCATTCCTAAACTTATAAGAAGCTATTTAAAAAAACAAACACAACAAATCAGAAAATTCCAAAAACAACCTTGAGAGTGGTTTTGCTTATTTTTTCTTATATATAATATAACTCTGGTTGTAATATTGATAACAGAAACACTACATCACATTAAATATAACTGTGGTGTTATACTAATAATCATCTTCATTAGAACAAATTGAGCTGGATCAAAACATGATAAACAGACCTAAATTATTAGGGTGTTTTCTGTGTATTTTGCCACTGTTATACTACATCTGGAGATATATAATATTATACAAGTTTATTGAATATACTAAGGATGGTCTTGCCAACATTTTTCCAACTAAGTCCTATGCTCCGTCATGTGTGTATGATTTGTTGACAGTTTGTGTTATCTGTTTCCAGGTGGTCACACCACAGAGATCCTGCGGCTGATGGAGTCCCTCTCTGTAGGATACACACCTCGACACTATGTTATCGCCGACACTGACAGGATGAGTGAGGAGAAAATCTGCTCCTTCGAAAGCTCTAAACAGAACTCAGACTCTGAGTCACAGGTACACAGCTGTCAGTAGGAGGACATTCGGTCCATGTCCCTAACTATGTCAAGACTCACTACTGAAATGTCTCCTCCAATATGATCTGCTCAGACATATCAAGCAAATTAGAACATCCTGTCCCCTTTGAAGAAAACCAAAGTGTTAGTACAGTTCTAAATGATTTGCACAAATGTATCGTCTTTGACAATTAGCTTTTGGATGACCTAATTAGAATTTAATTAACTAAGGCCATCCCCAGCCCTGGACAAATTTGAGTCTTTGCTTACCAAATACAGCATCTTCTGGGAGTGTTAGTACTCACCAGCAGGTGGCAGAAGTACGCTCTTTATTTGTGCTTTTCTTATACTTTTGACATCATTTGAGCCAGGGATACATATTACATTACATTACTGCAGACGCTTTTATCCAAAGTGACTTACATACATTCAGTACTGTGGACAATCCCCACAGGAGAAATTAGAGGTGAAGTGTCTTGCCCAGGGACACAACAACATGCTGACTGCAGTGGGACTCGAACCCTGATTCTAAGCCCAGCACACTATCCAGTGAGCCACAGCCACCCACACATATGCAACACACTAAATGAATACCTGCTTTATGCATATCTGAATACCCATTGAGAAAACCCTATGATGAGAAAGAGTATTCAGTATTGCCGTACATTCATTTGAATAATATATATTCCTACACTCATTTTCTGTGATATGAGCCAGTTTTACCCAAATTCAACATGCAAACGGTGACGTCATGTGCCCTTGATCCCCAGTTCTCCATCTGTCGGATCCCACGCAGCCGGGAGGTGCTTCAGTCCTGGAGCTCCTCAGTTCTCAGCACCCTGCACGCCCTGCGCTTCTCCCTTCCTCTGGTGTTCAGACTCAGACCTGACGTGGTGAGTGCAGACAGAGTGCAGACGGGAGCTGTTATCACACAGAAACATCACTCAGACACTTGAAGCATTCCTTCTACTATTTCAGGCCTTTAATCTGGAGCCTTGGCTTTAAGATTGTACCTAGTATATGGTCATAATATGCAGATAACAAACTAACACTGAGACATTCTCATTCATGTACAGTGCTATCATTTGACAAATATTGCACAACGTGGTCATGCTCATTGAATTACACGACATCAGTCTTATTAATAGCTCATTTAACAACATAAAAGTTAATCAGTGCCAAATGCCATTCAATGAAGTAGACATAGGAATGTTGCAAAAATGTACTATAGAAAAAAAAGTATTTGGACCCATCTCATGTAGTTGGGCCTCCTTTATTATAGTATTATAGAATGCAGGTATCTTTCTCAACAAGGAAGATGAACTGTCACTTATACAAACACAAACACATCTCATTTTGAACCAGAACACGTAATCTGTAATTCATTTTCTCATTCCATTAGAAAAAAACAAAGAAGTACACTATTGTAGGGATAAGTGTATGTGGCTGTAGATCTTTTGTAAATAGAGAAGGAAATGCAGAATGACTGTGAGAGCAGACTTGTGAGCGTCTCTCCACAGAACTTTTTGGTTCTTGGTGGCTGGTTCCAAACAAAGCCGGGGACTTGGCGCCAGGGCAGTCCTCCCAGAAATGATCCATTTCTTGTGAAGGCAGCGCGGTTTGACCCGCCGTAAACCTGCAGTCGCTCTCATGCGCACTGATTCTGCACAGAAGTGTCTTTAAATTAAGAAATTCAGGAGTTGTAATCTGGACTCACACTACCTCACTGCATTTAGATTTAATTGCAAGTTAGATTCTAAAGTATTTTGTATATATTATATTGTGTTTTCTTTGGATACTCCATTGGTATACACTATATATTTTCTACTGTTGATTTGTACATATTTACTGTTTATTTGAATACTATTTATTCTATTTTACATTACATAAGATTTTACATTTTTAATGTAATGCCTGTTGTGACAAAAATAAATAGCAATTTGAGAAAAATAAAATACATCTAATCTATTCGAATAGCATGAAACGAAAGCATTTTTTGATGTAATATGATACCTGACACTTGAGTAAATTAAAGACAACTTTAAAAACAGTCATATTTAAATACATAGAAGCAGAACTAATTAATTAATTAATACATAAGACAGGGATGTCTAAAACTAAATATGTAGTTAGTTGATACCAGTGGAGGCACTTTGTGTGGGAGACTGCCTCTATGAACTTGTGAATGGATGAATGTCCACTTATATGTATAGCAGCTTCAGGGGAACGACTGGAAAAGCGCTATATAAATGCAGTCTATTGACGAATTGCCAATAACATTGCAATCCCATGATGTTGGCCATGAAATCAGGTTTCTTCTGCTGGGGTAACTCTGTGTTTCTCATATTTATTTAGTTAGAAACTACTTAAAGAAAGCCGACAATAACCAGATTATGAAAGTGTATGGAAATCTCTGGAGATGGAAATCTTAACTAGCGTGAGTTCATTTTACTGCAGCCAGATGGAGCTTAACATCAAGCGGGGAAATCTGCTGACGTTTATGGTAGACTCTGGAATATTTCCCTTTTATTTACTTCACAGCACTGACCACCTAAATGAGAGTTAAAAAGTGAAGTGTTTGTAGTCCTAATGCTCATATCTGCTGCTACATGAAGCATTTCATTCAGCAAAGTGACGGTTCCTTGTCAGTCGTTGAGCTGTGAGAATGATTTCTGTGTCTGTGTGACTGTGTGATGGTTTCTCCAGACTCCAGAGCAGCTCCGTCTGGTTTCCTGTAAACCCAAACTCCCTCAACTCCCTCAGCTTCCTCCAACCCTGAGGCCACTTATTCATCCAGCCCCCTCCCCCCTCTTTGAGTTTCACTGAGCTGCCTTCACTGACTCATACACATGCTCTCGTTTTTTTGCCTTTTTAAACTTCAGACCACACTTCTTCAAGTGTTGAGGGATGATACATGTTCATGCTCCGTCATGTGAAGCTAAAAGCATACTTCTCAACTCTCCGAAGGTCTAACAACTAACACATGCATCATTTCCTGTCCGCTCCTCTAGTTAGACTCAAATAAATCAGTGTCTACCTGTGACCTCCATCACAGCTGGTGGTAGTCACTGCTGTAGCTGTGAGTCTCTGATAAACCATAAAGACACAAAAAAAACAGATATATTGACTTCCATTTTAAGCGCTTGTGCTTTAGTCATGGGTATAATGGCCAAGGTTTAATACAGATCAAACCAATTCAAACAATAGTTATCATTGATCATACTTTAAAGAGACAGATGTCTGAACTGTGAGCCAGATTGGAAAAAATCTTAAACGATAAAA